TTCCATATAACAATACCGTTTTATGCTATCAGTTCTGTTGTACTGTACGTAATACGTGAGATGGGAGCATATGAATGTTAATTGCATCAAGACGATAGGGGCAATAAAACTGTGTTGTTAACATGTTCCGGTCGTTGAGTGCTCGCCCGGCGGACAGTAAGGAATTCACGCCCACAACCATCTCAGCCATACGCAGGCTGACAAAACCACACACACAAAAAAAGAAAAAAAGGCTGACAAACCACGGAAAAAAAGCGCCGTCATTTACTCGATAGAGCGGATTTTCTCTAGACGGAGCTGATTTTGTTAAACTGATGAGTTATACATGTAACAAAAGCTTTGTACATTCATATATATCAGGAGTAGATAATAGGGAATTCCCTATTATCTACTCCTGATATATATGCATTGTTACTACGCTTATATTCCCTGCTATTTGGTTTATATATGAATTTATGAAAATATGATCAACATCACGATAAAATACTTGGGTGACCAGGTACATGTACTACTCTTATAAATGATGATATTAATTGTGCTTGCTGTTGAACATATATGCTCAGTGAGTATGAACTTTTGCTTTCGATTCTTGGAATCTCAAAATTTGACGGGACCAGAAAAAAAGCCCCGTGGTCACTGGAGACGGGGCCGTTTACGTGGCTTGGGCCGATCGACCCTGTGAAAAAGCGAAGCCTGTGGCCATAAGTATGCACCAACACTTGCTCTGTTTTTAGGCCCGGACAACTGAACCATGAATCATTGACCAAGTATCGTGAAATTATTAATTTAATGAATCAAAAGCATAAACCGCTCCTGCCTCAACTGCGTGACATGTTTTGAAGGATGTTAACGCCGTTTCCGCGGTACAGTGAATGGATGAGATTATATATAGAGATACACATCTCACAGAATAGAATATTTTACATTAGATAAGAATGTAAACACACACCTCTCAAAACCAATACGGGTGACAGCCGGTAGCAGATACGGCCACATGTATACCGCATAATCGGAATTCCACGACCAACACACACATACACGCACGCACGCACGCACGCACGCACGCACGCACGCACGCACGCACGCACACACACGCACGCACGCACGCACACACACACACGCACATACACACGAGTATGCGCGTATACTCTCTGTACATGTTCCAGCGTTTACGAGCTCAACACTCAGGCCAGCTAACAGACCTATTTTTTTCATTGACGCGTATTTTCTCGGACGGCATCTATATTTATACAGGGGGGGGGGATTTTATTTTCGTCTGAATTCGCGCGCGCAAGGGGGGAATCATGAACACCGTACGGACGGACGTGCAGACGCACGTATTCGCGTTTTGTCGCGCAAGGCTGTCTGCTACAGCGTCGTCCTAACTGTACACGATCAAGCTAATGTTCAACAAGCTCCCAGCACCCTAACCCACACCCCTCCCACCCAGACACACACACGCGCACACACAGCTCTAGAAATCGATCCCCAGCACAGCTACTGCAGCTATAGCACAGCTCCTAGCAGCAGCAGCCTGCTGCCTATAAACTGCCGAATGTAGGACTATTGATGAAATTTCTAGGACTCGCGTGATTTCAAGAAAAATGTATCATATCAGCATTGGCTCCAGCTCTAGAACTATAGCACTTCGCTCTGCAACAGGCACAGGCACTGGCACAGACACATGCACAGGCACCTGTGGCAGGGCGAAGGGCTATAGTTCTAGAGCTACATTGGCAGCCTCCAGCCGGCATTACGTGGAACATCATGACAGCTTTTTATAGCTTTTAGGGAGCTCGATGTACGGTACATTATCAGTGGTGGTGCCATTACATCCAGCTTATAGGCATCCCATCCGATATCATATATGCAATGATGCATATCTATCATCCGATAAAAGCAAAGGGAATACCACGAACCAAATGTCGGGGGGTTTGTACTTCGACAATGACATTGAGCGTACCGGTAGTTGATTTTTCACCGAGGACCGTTCCTGGGGCAGTTTTCTGCGTGACAACTAGGTCACCGCGTGCTGGTGCAAAACCACTCATCTATGGTTATCCCGCAACAGCTGCCACGAACACCACAACAAAGACCTGGGGACAGGTTATATAGTTTGGTAAAAATCTGCTGGTAGCATTTACAGTAGATGTACGTTTACTGGTTTAGAGGGGAACACCCATTCAGAGCCGGTTTAACTTTTATCCTGAGTCTGTGGATCTGGAGGTTCAGTGGGTAAACATGCACCCTCGATGTTCGATGAAAAGGGGTAGAGTATCATGCCATATGCCACCTTGTAATGTCTTTTTATTTGCCGTGTAATTTTGGGTAACCATGCATGAATACCCTGACTTAATTCATAAACGTATGTATTCGGATTTGTTTGAGGATGTCTGCCAATACCATATGCATAAACAAATAATTGTGAGAGCAATTAGGTAACTGTTGATATCAGCTATCATATATAGCAACTTTGCCAATCACTGTGGCAGTATCAATATTTATACTATATAACATTCACTTCGCCATTCCTATCAAAACCTTCATAGTGAAATAAAATGCAGCACTTTTGATATATCAAATGTCCTGATCTTATAAGGCCACCCTTAAAAAATCGTTTGTTTCCCTTTTACCTACTCGCCTCTCAGGGTACCGAGTAGGTAGGTAGGTGAAAAATCTTTTTTATTTTGTTTTGACAAGATGTGTGTATGTATATTGTATATTCTGTTTTGTGTATATGTTTTTGCAGACCGAATTTGATTTTTTTTTTGGCAAAACAAAATAATTTTTGTTTTGTTTTAATCGGCCAATAAAATGTGTCGAGTAGCGGCTTTTTGGCGAGCCGGTCGGTAAAGGGGAAACAAGCAATATTTTATCTTAGGCCCGATCTTAGGATATCTCCTGATATATCCTTTCTAGGCTGTTCTGTTCTTCTATTTACATAAGTTTTGTTACTTCCACGTATTGGCATTTGACATGTGCTCATACACGTCACATGCACTCAACGCAGCTATCGCTTTCAGTTTTCAGTTTATCTATGTATGTACTATTTACCTGATTAATCTGATTCTACCCCTCACCTGTAGGTTTGGAGTGGATCGAAGGGTAGGAAGACTACTGTCTTGTATAAACCCCCATCTTTACATATTCATCCACACGGCTTTTGAACGAGTTAATTGATTTAGCTTGTACTGCTTCTTCTGACAGGTTATTCCAGTGATTTATTACTCTAAAACTGAAAAAATGTTTCCTTAACTCTAGTCGTGCACGCGGAGTGAACAATTTGAGGCTATGCATGGCCACGAGTACTGTTGTATTCCGATCTTGTAAAGAATTTTGTAGGGTCAACTTCGTAGGGCAACTTCGTAGCCATTCATTATAGTTTGAAAGTTTCAATGAGGTCTCATCTTAGTCTTCTCTGTTCCTGTTCCAGTGTTATAAGTCCTATAGTTTCTCTAGTCTTTGTTCATAGGAAAAATTACGAATTTCTGGAATCATATGCGACATCCTTCTTTGCACCTTTTCCAGTAACACTATATCTTTCTGCAAATAAGGATTCCAAGATTGGACAGCATATTCAAGGTGAAGTCTAACCAGTGATTTGTAAAGCTGAAGGATGATTTTTTTGTCTTTATATTTATATTTTTTTATTTGTTTTTGTCCCAGTATTTTGTTCGCTTTACTGGCTATGTACTATGTACTATATCAGGAGTCTATCAATACTCAATATGTACTATGTGCACATACCGGTATACCGGCCTACACGTTGTTATTCAAACATCACGAACCACGTTAATTGCTCAAGGAAAATGTCGAATCATACTTAGATAGACCGATATGAATCATCGATCAATGTATCTATCGAATATCAAATGACCGCGTAGGGCCTATTCTCGCAGTCTAGTAAACCTAACACAAACAACACTGAACATGCTAACTTACAACACAATATGTCAATAATATGCAAATAAATTGTTTGCACTGCCATTGATCACGACCGCTATCTAAATATTAAGTGACCGAAGTAACAACCCGGCAGGAAACACGATAGTTTGCCTATTACTTGTGCAAGTTATGAGTTTCATTGCATGGCGTAAATATTAACACTAACAGGCATACGTCTGAGGGAACCGCCCTAGTGTGCTGTTGTTGTTGTAAAAGTTGACGAATAACTCGGTTGCTTCCAGTTTACTCACCTCCCCAGATTCCTATGCTCAACTGAGAGCTGTCCAAGTTCTCGACATAATCTCCGAGGAATCGGTTAAGTAAGTCTGCGACTAAAGACTCGAAAACCATATTGTAACTCTGCGAAAAGCTCTCACGCCGGTGTTCTCATATCTATCACACGCCGTGGATAGCAGCAGGGCCTTGCAGCAGGGTGCAGCTCCAGTAATGCAATGACGCCGCAATCTTCGATCGCTTTGCAACGCCTTCTCTCCCTGCTCGTGTCTAGATGGGAGCCGACTTGGTTAGTGCAGACATTTACGGCATGGGAAATAAAAGATATATGCCAATCTAAAAGCCGGTCTACGCATGATATCTCGCGAGAATACAGTAAACTCATCGCTGTCATGTTAGACTGGCTCATTGTCTCTTTCCCAGCTTATATTAGCACAAGAAAAGCACAAAGAGTCCCTCTACAGACAAACCGAGCCAATCTCCAAAATAGTATCAGTGCGAGCATGGCTGATATACAGTCGGATAACGTGAAAGTTCTTGAAATTTTTGATGCTGCAGCTAAATTGCAGCATGCCATTGAAAGAAGTGACGACCCTACAAATTCACGCGAGTACCAGGTATGTTTATGGCATCATAAGATTAACATTACTAAATGCAAACATATGATTGCCAAATTAATGCAGTAAAATTGAGAAAAAATTCCTTTTTTGGAATGTTGTTGTTTTCGCATTGTCAGTGATTCATTAAAATGTCAATCAATCTAATGTCGGAATAAATTAGACCAGGCAGTGATATATACCACTACCACTACCAGGCGGAATATTGATTATTGGTATAATCTTTGTTGGTATTATGATTATTATCATGATCATGAACATGATTATGATAGTGCGTACTATAACGATGTAGGCCCTACATCATCATCATGTACAAATTACAATCACTGAATCGGTACATTGTGATTGTTATTGATGTATAAATTTGTATTATGATTATTTTATGTACTATTATGTATTACTATTATGATTTACATGCTTTTCAACTTTAAGGTGCACATATAAGGGATAGCATGCGTGTGCTCCACTGCACCCCGGGGTATGATAAGGAAATCAATCCATATACCGGTAGCCGGAAAAATATTAAAAAGTGATGACCACAGCCGGCCGATATAAAAACGTACGTTGTACCGTAGAGTTTGGACGCTCGCCCGAAACTGGACGCTCCTAAGTGCGCATGCGCGCAGGCGCCTCTTGTTTTGCAAGGGTGCATGCGCAGCATGCGCAGCATGCGCAGTAGTCATCTGCGCATCTCGCCCATCGAAAACTGTCGCAATAAACAAACATGGCGGCCAACCCGGTCACTCAGGGAAACATTTGATTGAAACAATTTGCAATGTAGTAAGTTAGTAAGACTGTGTTATGTGTGTCAGGTTACAAGGCGAAGCAAAAAGAAAGCAAAAGAGCATGGCTACTATTTCCTATGGCCCTGCAAAACATGCAAGATTCAAACAAAAAGAAAACAAGAGAAAAACAAAAGAGCATGCGCGCATGCGCACTTAGGATCGTCCAGTTTTGGGCGAGCGTCTAAACTCTACGGGACAACGTGTCAAAACCAAATCATTCGTGTGCAGCCATGTGATATGAAACTTGAAAGCATTTTTCAAAAGTTGCTTTGCTTAATTATATCTCTTTACATTTTTACAGGAGAAGCTCAAGAAATGTGTTCACATGTTGGAAGATGTCACAATGATGGTGTCACACTTAGGTGTGTTTAGCTCTAACGAGGCTGTGGAAGAAGTAGGCACGAATGATTTGAGGTAGATTTACAAGATAACAATACTTAAGCTATTAATTAGCCTATATAGATAATGATTTACTACAGATGCTGTTCTCGGAACAATTGCAAATTAAAACTAGACGGAGTGCACTCACGGAGTGCATACTTCCGCCAGCGACATACGCCATACGCCATACGACTCACGAACACACGAATAACCCACGATACACGCCAGCGTACTGACATGTACACGCTCCCATGTAACATGTATGTGTTACGAGCTGGCTCGCTGGGCTCGGTGGCTTGCTGACTCGCTGGCTCGCTGGGTGATAAATCATTTAACTGTCTATCGTTTCGATAGCTTTTTAAGCTCATTTAACACTTGCACGCACGCTCCTACCTGCGTGACCATCTTCTCCGCAAAGGAATCCTGCTTCTCGTCCTTCGGCTTGTCCTTGTCCATCTCTCGCAGTCGTGTGTCCTCGATCGCCTGCAGCTGCTTCTGCTTGGCATCCCAGGCATTCTTCTCCTCCTTTTCAGCATTGTATGGCACACCTGCAATAAGAGAAACGTAAGAATGTGAGTGCGTCTTGCGATATATACATATATATATATATCAATATGGGTATCAACTACCATAGTGTTAACTGTCCACACAATGTGATGAATCTTCATAAAATAACCCAGGTTGTTTTACAGCTTCTCTTCAGGTTGTTTCAGAAGGTACCAAGGAGTTTTGCAATGATTGTACTCTTTCGTATAGATCTCTGTACGAGCAATATAACTTTTTCTCAAGTACCTACCAGATGGAACTTTCATTGGCTGAAAAAACTTTTTTTATAGATCTGTTTATTTTCTCATTTAAATTGCATAATACTTAGTATAAAATTAAAAAAATAAAATACCAACATTTATTCTTGTAATAATAGCAGGACTCTATTAATATCAATCAATCCAAATTAATATCAATATCAATATTGATAGACTTCTGATAATAGTCAATTATTATGCAGTTCTCTAAAATAATTATAAACTACTTACTTATGAAAACATTTCACTTAGTAATCCCTTTCATCTGGGAATCACAACAAAAAAACTAAAAAAAACTTTGAACAATAAAGCTAAGAGGAAACACCCCATCCTAGTTTATTTATTTAATCTAATAATAGGCACATGAAATGGAGGACAGATGATGAATCTTTAGAACCGCGTATGCACGGCTGGGATGCGGGGGATGACTAGTAAAAGTGCATAGTGTGACACACCTAATTACTTTGCCACATCTAGAAAAAAAAAATCAATGACGGAGTCTGCACGCAGGCCGGATTAAACTGTAATCCGCAATTCCGGTGCTAGCCTTCAAAAAAACCGGCGCCGAATCGTTGCGCGGCGGTATCGTCTGCACACAGACGAAGCCAGCCTGCCGGTGGCTGAGCCGAATGCGAATGTGAAGGAAGAGTGGAGCAGAATTAATAATGGCCTGTCTGCTGCTGCCAGCTACAGCACCATGGCGGGCACCACTCAAGATTCCACAGCGCAAATGGGCGGCTGCTGCTGCTGCTGCTGCTGCTGCTGCTGCTGCTACTGCTGCTGCTGCTGCTGCTGCTGCTGCTGCTGCTGCTGACGTTTTGGCTGCTACTGTTTCTGTTGCTGGCTACTGCTGTTGCTGCTCGCTTCATGCTGCTGCTTCTGGCTGCTGCTGGCTGCTGGCTACTGCTGTTGCTGTTGGCTTGCTGCTGCTATTCTGTGCTGCTACTGCTGGCTGCTGGCTGGCTGCATACTGTTATTGGCTACTGTTCCTGTTGCGGCTACTGCTGGCAGCTGCTGCTGCTGCTGGCTGGCTGCTGCTGCTACTGTTGCTGGGCTGGGCTGCTGCTACTACTGGCTGCTGCTTATTGTTGCTTGCTGCTAGTGCTGCTGCTGGGCTGCTGCTTCTTCGGCTGCGGCTGCTGGCTGCTGCTAGCTGGCTGCTGCTGATGGCTAGTGATGTGCTTCTGCTGCTGCTGCTCCTGCTGATGATGAATGATGCTAGTGATGGTGCTTCTGCTGCTACTTATGCTGCTGCTGCGGCTGCACCACAATCTAAAATGTCTACTGCACACCCCTGATCTACGCTTGATCACGAAGTGCCAATGTTGCATTCACATAAGTGAGTCATCCAAGTAACAGTTAACACAGCTAAAACAAATTGCCCCTCACAGGGATTAGGGCATGCGACTACTGTACCAGTAGTCTGCAACGCATGCTATTTGCAAAGCTGAAAACAACAACACCGGCAAACGCCGGAGGCGGCACCAGACAATATCCATTAATTTCATCATTCATAGTCATTCCCATTCACGCGAAATGATCAGAGATGGTTATCATGCAATGCCACTACTCATGCGCACTTCCCGCGAAACCGCACCGCCCGCCCCCCCGCCTGGCTCACCTTTGTTCGGCGTGACGAGTATGGACAGGCCCTCGATGTTCGCGATGACAGGCTCTGTGTAGAGATTCTTCCACGGAATCTTCAGCGTCAGCTTCCCCAGGCTTCCCGCGAACAGCTTCACGGGGAGGTCGAGGTCGTCGAGGGCCGAGCCCTTCAGGAATAGGTTCTCCAGCACGACATCACCTGCGAAGAATATATGATGAAGAAAATGCGGAAACCCTTCCAGTGCGAACAAAACACAAAATTATTACAAGTCTGTACACAAGAAAGCATATATATATATATATGATTATGTACATGTGCAGGCCGAAGTAGAAAGTAAGGTCATGGAGGGAGTATAGCAGGTTAGGAGGTTCGTTTAGCCAGCAGCACTACTAACCCTTTCAACGCGAGAATCTCCGCATGAGCCGGATAGGTCATATAATTATAAGACATAACGAAAAAGCTTTTTTTTACTCGATATTGTATTAGATGGCACGCGAATTTATGACGCGTAGTGCTCATATGCCAGATATGAACTTACCAGATGCGTTAAAATGCATTAATAATCTACTATTCTCTTCAGAGTGCTTCAGACAATGAATTACTGAAATCTCTTCAGGGCACCAAAAGGTGACGTGGTTTAAGGCTGTTCTTAGTATGCAAAGATTATCGTGAGATTGTATAAGCTGGACATCCGAAGAAAAATTGGTTCATAGTGGTAATATCGTGGAAGTAGGTATAACGTATAAGACATACCGACGAAGTGAATTCCATCAACGAGAAACCAGATCCGTAGTTCAGTTATCAGCACAAGCGCAAAAGTAGCAGAATGAATAACCTTCAATATCGATCTGCTATTCTTCATTATGCAGGTGTGTCGCGGTTCTTCGCTCTTTGAATCCCTTCGACAGCGCAAATCCCCTAAAAACTCACTAGTGACCCAACCTCTAGTTTCTACAGAGGTGTCTGAGCTAGGTCTATGAAGAGTCAAAGAGAGTGAAATAGGCCTTGAGACACTATTACAATTGGCTTAATGGTGTCGCAGTTGAGCGACGGTCATAACACATTCGGGGGCTAACGTTTAAAAATCAGAATACGTCGGGGCTCTGAAGTGGAAATCATCGACCTATAAGAATTCCGCGTGAGAATTGGAGTGTCTCAGCACTATGATAAAAGGGATAGATGATATGCGTATATCGGCGGCATCGAACGTCAAACTTTTGAGTCGTCGGACTAGTAAGTAGAGCATTAACTGCTATGCGGATAACAACCAACGAAGAGATATCTATTAAGTGATTCTTATAGCTGGTTCGTTTCGTGAAGGGTTCTTGACTTAATAGGTACGTGCAATGGGCATGATGGAATGTTATTGGCGATCAAGATTCGATAGGGGTCATATTGCACTGGATACAGAGCCTTCGGTTATGGTTACTTTGATCGTCTTGGTACGCGTGGCGTGAGGTTTGTGTGAGGACGTGGTACCTGCTCGCGCCGTCGCGGACTAGAGTTTATTAGGTGAATTCACCGATGGTGCCCACAACGCATCTCAAGCATACGCAGGCTTGACAAACCCACACACACAAAAAAGAATATCGAAAGAGTAGCTTGATCATTTACCACTGGAGACCATAATAGATGCGGCTGGTTCTATATTTACGTCGACTGTGATGAACGCGGATTTCTCTAGAGCGGAGGCTTTGAAATTCTTGTTAACTGCATGAGTTTGATACATGTAACAAAAAGCTTTGTACAATTCATAAAATATATCAGTCGTAAGAGGTAGATAATATATTTCCGGTGTGAATTCTATTTTACTGCCTCGATATCATATGCATTGTTATACGCTTATATTCGCTGCTTTGGATTTATATATGAAGTTTTATGAAAATATGATCAACATCACGAAAGAATAATTGGGTGAGCAGGTACATGTACTATCTTTATAATGATGATATTATTGTGTTGCTGTTGAACATATCTGTATGGCTCAGTGAGTCTGCACTTTGCTTTCGATTCTTGGAAATCTCAAAATGTTGACGGGAACGGGAGAAAAAGCCCCGTGGTCCACTGAGACGGGGCCGTTTACGGTGGCTTGGGCGGCGATCGACCCTGTGAAAAAGCGAAGCCTGGGGCCATAAGTATGGCCAGCCAACATCCTGTTAGTGTCTCTGTTTTTCAAAAATTCTTGACCGTCGTAGTTTTTTTTGCAATGGGGCCGGCACTAGAAGCTGAAAGGCGACTGAATACATTCGACTCAGGTATCGTGATAATTATAATGTAATTTTAACTGAATAAAGCATAAACGTCCCGCTCACTTCGTGACATGTTTTGAAAGGATGTTAACGTCCGTTTCGCGCGGTACAGTGAATGGATGAATTAGATATATAGCGAATACACACTCTCACAGCAACTAGTAATATTTTAACATTAAGCCCGCCGCGTCACGCGCAGCGCGAGTGGAGTATATTTCAGCTCAAGTATAAATGACGGGCACGAGTCAAAATTAAAAGTGCAACGAAAATGCCGCGCGCAGCACGTGAGTTCCAAGATGATGCATGCGTCATGTTGACTTGAGTAAAATCACTCACCGTGTGCGCCGGGGCTTTCGATAAGAATGTAAACACGTA